ACATAAACATTCAGTGCATAAAAATTTGGGGAGACATAAACATTCAGTGCATAAAACAATTTCTATATCAATAGTAATAACATTTTAAGTAGAAAAGTATCTGAAGATAGAGCATGGAGTGAGTCCATTAGGCCAAATGCAAGACAGGTGCAAACCATTATGCATTTCTATACAAATGTTTTTTCTTTTAAATGTTTCTAGTTGCATTATTTTATTATCATGTTTTCCTACTCTGCACCCCAAAATTTTCTGGTTGTAGAAAATCCCTCATCATATGTTGTGAGGGCTCTGATTGCATAGGCTGAAGGGCCCTAGAACTCCCTCCTCGCCCTCAGAGAGAGAACTCAAAAACACATGACCTGAGATCAGTCAACTGTATGTTTCTACTAGGGCCTAGAAGTCCTGCAGGAGTAATGTAAACATTCAGTGGCTGGAATCTATGGTGGAGGCCTATACCAAAACTATGTCACCTCCAATAAGCAGATAGAGACTGGGAAGCCTCAAGCAGGACTCAGGCTGTTCTAAGGCCTGATCTAGGCTAAACTGCAAATGGCCTTACCTGTTACCATTTCTAAGCTTAATTCTTCAGCATTTCTATTGCTTCTATAATTTATCTTCCAGTCAACTCATTTTCAGCTTAAATTTGGTTTAGTTTTGTTGCTTGTGACTAGAAAACCTGAAAAACAAAAATTGGTCCTAAGGAGGGGCCACAGCATTGAAGGCAAGATGTAGAAGGCCACACTGCAACAGAGAAAGTATGAAAACATGAAGACCTGGGGTGGTGCTTCTTTCAGTGGCATTAAGTAGATAAGAAAGGACATGATAAGCTCATATCCTCAAATGTTGGGCTTAAAGAACAAACTGATACCCAGAGGCTTTCTCTGAAGCTACTAAAGAATTGCTTCACTGTTAAACTTCAGGGAAGAGGTGGCAAAAAGCCCAGACTTTGGGTGTGGGCAAGTAATGTGCGTGGGTTTTTTATCTTTTGTTTTTTAAGACAGGGTCTCACTATGTTGTCCAGGTTGGAATGCAGTGGCATGATCATGGCTTACTGCAGACTCAACCACCCAGGCTCAAGTGATCCTCTCACCCCAGCCTCCTAAGTAGCTGAGACTACAGGTGCATGCCACCATGTCCAGGTAATTTTTTTTTTTTTTTTTTTTTTTTTTTTGAGGCGGAGTCTCGCTCTGTCGCCCAGGCTGGAGTGCAGTGGCCGATCTCAGCTCACTGCAAGCTCCGCCTCCCGGGTTTACACCATTCTCCTGCCTCAACCTCCCGAGTAGCTGGGACTACAGGCACCCGCCACCTCGCCCGGCTAGTTTTTTTGTATTTTTTAGTAGAGATGGGGTTTCATGGTGTTAGCCAGGATGGTCTCGATCTCCTGACCTCGTGATCCACCCGTCTTGGCCTCCCAAAGTGTTTTATTTTATTTTATTTTTTTGTAGAGATGGAGTCTTGCTATGTCGCCTGGGCTTGTCTCAAACTCCTAAACTCAAGTGATTCTCCTGCCTTGGCCTCCCAAAATGCATGAGCCACTGGATCCAGCAGTAATTTGTTGAATTATGTCCATGGAAGTTATAGCTTCACCACTTCCTTTTATATAAAACTTATGGCATTGATGAAGAAAAAGACCCTATAAATTGGAACAGGTATAAATAAAACTCCTCAGAAGACAAAAAATACTTTAAATTCTAGCCTTTTACTCACACCTCCGTGTCCCTCCCTTGTCAGCTGACATATCCACTACTTCATTTTCTGATGAATTTCTTCCTCCATTGCTTGGAATCATGTCTTACCTGGGGAGTTATCTTACAAGGGGAAGTCAATATTCAAGCCTCTTCTGCCTCAGTCTAGCATACCTGTAAGGTCAAATACATCAAATAATTTTTCAGTGCACTGCCTTGAGCAGCTGGGAAGGATTATAACTGTTTTCTCAGCTGATTATTAGAAACTTGGAGTCAGTGATGGACAACACTAAAATGAGGTTGACATGCCAAAAAGTCCTTGACGGTTTCCATAAAAAATTCCTGATGGCTCTACATTCAAAATGTATTCAGGGTACAACAGTTATGACCATCTAACTGTTAGTATCCTGGACTGAATCACCATCTCTTGCCAGGATGACTGTCAATGCTTCCTAACTGGTTTATGGGCTTCTACCCTCATTTCCCTTACCTCATCACCATAATTTTTTCCCAATTCAGCAGACAGATTGATCTTTTAGAAACCTAAGTTCTGCACTGTGACTTTCTTCAAAACATTGCAACAGAGTAAAACCTCACACAGAGCAAAAGCCAAACCTTTAGAATGGCCCATAAACTCTACATGGCACAGCTCCCTGCTGGCCATCTGACCCTTTCTTTTACCACCAGCTCCTCAGTCACTCTGCTCCAGCCACACTGGCCTCCCTGCTGATCACTGAACTTGCTAAGCACAGTCCTCCTTAGGGACTTTGTACTTACTGCTCCTTCTCTCTGGACCTCTCTGCCCCTAGATACCTACTTAGTTGGTTTCCTCACCTCCTTTAAGTCTTTGCTTGCCTTCTCAATAAAGCCTACCTTGATCATTCTATTTAATTTTGCAACCTTCCCCCTTCTTGCCACCCAGCATTCTAGATCCCCCTTGCCTGCCTTTCCTTTTTAGTTTACTATTGCATGTAGTCTTCTAACATGCTATGTAATAATTTAATTAGTAAGTTTAGTGTTGATCATCTATCTTCTTGTGGTAGAATATAAGACTCTAGGAATCTGGTCTCTTATGCCAGTCCTTAGCTTACCTATTTGTCCTCATATTTCTTCTGAGCCCTTCTGTTCATTGTGTATCTAGGAGGTGCTGATTTATTCAGGCTGCATTCCTAGGTCAGCTACCTTGGAAATAAAGGGAACAAAGAAACCTGAAACGAATTGGTTAGGTAGACCAATTTTGTCTTTCAACCCCCAATATATCATGACCCTCCAAAATCCTGATAATTCTTGAAAGATCTTGAATGCTACTGGTCTACTAAGACACTATTAACTGGAATGAAGATATTGTTTACTAAATAGTAACCTGAAGGCTTTAAAGAGTTAATGTCACTTGCAAATAGGCTAAACATAATCAGGTCATGTATTTGGGGTGGGAGAAAAGATGAGGTTTTGTTCAATTTGTGCTCAGATATTTGTCTTACTATATATAGTTTTTCTTGAAATTCTAAAAATAATATATTCATTTGGAAAGGCATAGAAGTTGAAAATTATTATAGGAAGTTTCTAAAGCTAATTAATTTATCTTCTCTTGATTATTTTCCATAAATATTCCCTGGTGTTTCCTTCTGTCTTTTATGGTTTTTGAAGTAGCTTTGCAGTGTTTCAGAAACAGTCATGGTGAGCTAGTTGCATGCTAGTGTTCCAAAGTCTGTTTCCATATTTCCATCAGACAGTAGGCTATTTGTTCTTGGATATGTCCTAAGGCAATCTTGACATAGAAGTGCAAAGTAATCACAGTTATCTGGGATGTTTGATTAAAATTTACAGTGATAGCTTTGGCAGCAGAAATATTCTTATACACCAAGATGTCATAATGCTTGTGTTTTAGACTGTGATTAGACAATAAATCCATATCATCCTGCAAAACTACCTTTATATTTATTACAAGGGCTCCTGTTTATTCAGCCTGTCTATATGTGCTGTCTATATGTGCTGTCTATATGTGCTGGACAATTTGCAAACATTATTTCTTTGAATTCTCACAACCATCCATTTTACAGATGAAAAATTGAAACTATGAGTCATGCAGTTATAAGTGACGGAGGTGAAATTTCCATGTAGATCTCTCTGATCTCAAATACTCAGTTGTTTTTCACTAAATCTGCCACCGTAGGATTTACAAAAGGTAGGATAGATAGAAATAGAAATGCACAAATAACTACAAAATTTTTTTGATTCCCAATTAATATAAACTTATCTCAGGAGGGACTGAATGTATTCATTTCAGAAGGTGTGTGAAGTGTATTCAAGCCAGAAGATCCAGCTGAAGATGAGGTCAACTGGGAATACTGTCTTTTCCCTTTTGTGGTAGTGATAACTCCACACAAAATACTACAATATTTCAGTGAGTTTTAAATTAGTAAGGAAAAGGCTGAGCTAGCTAATATTTAGATAAAGAGTCGTTGAAATATCTAGGAAGAGTACACAGAGAAAATTTTCTGTACTTTAATAGTAGGAGATCATATTTTTCATGGTTTAATATAAGACAGTCACTGGGAGACACACTTTCATGCAATCCATAATTCCTCCATACTCTTATTATCAACTACTTTAGTTGAGGAAATTGAGACTTACATAGGTTTAGAATTTGCCCAAGATAACAAATGGGAGTGTTGGCAATTAAAGTCTATGTTTTTAACTGAAATTCTCTTAAGTACTATAAAGCATTGCTCGTATTGCCTCTGAACTGAAATGTAGCTTCACTGCATGTTCCCCCACCCCCATGCAAGGTCACAACATTTTATAAAAACAATTGAAATTGTTTAAATTGTCCTAACACAGAATATTAAACATAGTAGTATTTGAAATCAGCTATATAGAGTTATGTAATATAGATTATGAATGCATTTGCTCTTTGATGGTAAAAAAAGAAATCAACTTTCAACAAACTATTTTAGATAGGGATCTTCTGGCCATAATAATCCCAGTGTGTCACATCTTCTTGTATCCACATCTTTGTGTAGTTCTCTCTCATGGTGGCTCTAAGTGTGAGGCATGCCTTGCTTTGGCAGTAGTACGTAAGCAAATATTACACAAGTAGAGGCTTGAAAGATGCTAACACATTCAGGGGATGTTCTTTTGGAATACTACCATAACCTTGGTAGTATTCTGCTGGAGAAATTACATGGAGGAGAACCCAGGCACATTGGTCAGTATCCACAGATAACTCTCAGACATGTAAGTAATGTTATTGTGGACTATCCAACTCCAGTTGAACCATAAGAGGACTATAGATACAGGAATGACTACAGGAAATATCAACAGAAGAACCACTAGCTGAACACAGCCCAAATCACAGAATAATCAGCATACAAATGGCTGTTACCCTAGTCACTAGGTCTTAGGGTAGCGTGTTACCAAAAATAACTGATACACTTTTTTTTTTTCTTTCTTTACACACACAAGTGCCTGTGTGTATGCATACTATTCTCTGCCAACATATTTTCACGAAGAATCTGCTCTTGACACTGAAAGAAAAGGTTACAAAATGTCTAGGCCATATTTCTCTCTATTGTGTGAATCATTGATACTGCTGCCTTTTTGGCTGCACTTCTATAAAGCTTATGAATACTTCACAAATACAAATTTACTGCACTGTGGTATAAAACTACCTAGCAAATATGATGCATACTAAAATATAAAATATTATTTCATTTAAACATTTACATATAAAAATATTTAGTCCCTACCTTCCTCTTTTAGTGACTAAAAAATAAAAGACACTTGTAAGATTGGTAAGACTAACAGTAAACTGAGTAATACTTTAAAATTCAGAAATGTTGACTTAAAGTCAGCTTCATGGACAGATAGGAAAATGGACATCTGTTTGTCAGAACCTCAAAAATATTATCTTCATCTGTATTATTCATAGATGACTGAAATAGCAAGAAGATATTAAATATTTTGGCACAGGGCATTTCCCCCAGTCAAAATGCAAATCCTTGGTAAGGATAACATCTGTAGCCTCATCATTCATTAACAATGTAGTAGAACTATATTGGATTTCTCCTTGAGTATGGGTTTCCCAGGATATTATGAAGAGTACGAAGAATCTATGACCCTAAGGGACTATGACTAAGAAGAGAAAGGGGTGGGAGACATACCTGATCCATTTTATTATTTTTCTCAGAATCAGGAATGGAATCAGGATAACCATATGTGCTTTCAGGGAGGAGGTAGTGGGTACCAGCCTCATGAGTCCCCAGCTCCCCCAGTTTTTCATTCAACACTATAACTTTTACCCCTGCCTCTCCTAGAAACTTGCACAACACAGAAAGGGAGCACCACATAGGCTTTTGAGAAACATGAGAAAGAATTCTAGAAATATATTCAAAGCTCTGCTACTTTGACCTAAGTTCTCCTAGTCCTTTCTGAAAAATGAAAATAATAAATCATTTTTATTTGACTGTTCTAAGGCAAAGATTAGCAAATTCTGGCTCATGGGCCAAATCCAGCCCACTTCCTATTTTTATACAGCTTGTGAGCTACTTCTAGTCTAGTCTACAAGGCACACAACTTAACCAGAAATGTGGCAACTTTTTCTTCTGATCCTTATTAAAAAGTCAACAAAATGATTCATGTCAAAATTTAATACTAATAAAGATATCACTAAAAATATTACATTTTGTAAGCTCTTGAAAACAAGAAATGTTTTGTGAATTGCCATGACAAAAATAGTGTTTAACATTTACAACATGCTCATGAAAATCTTTTGTATGAATGAATCCATTTCAAGATTTTATCCTTTACTAACAATTAGCTATCTTACTTAAGTACAGACAGAAAAATCCTTTAAAAATTGCATAGAATATTAAACAATGAGACAAATATAGCCAAGAAAACCAATTTGGAAGAAGAAATTATTTAGACTGGTTGCCTTTACTGCTCTAATTACATATAATAGCTCTGCTCCTCTCTGCTTTGACTTGTTTGCATGGACCTTGTCTTAAAGGACAAAGTGGAGTATTTGAGGATAAAGAAAGCAGAAGATTGAATATTTCAAAGAGAATCAGAGGAATCCTGAGAGCATATGGGCAGATTAGAGAAAGAACAGCAGAGCTGTGGCAGTAGCTGCACCTGTCAAAATTTGGCTGGAATGTATGTTCCCAGATGATCTGATTTTAGAGTAACAGGATGAGTCCATGAAATACTTATCCTGACACTTTAAAATTGTGGATTTTACGGTTTGCTGATGCTCCTGCTGGGCTGCCTGTTCCATTCAGCTATGCTGAATCCACATATCTGGAAATGGCATCTCTTATCAGAGGTAGGACTGCTTCCAAAAAGGCCAGTTTAGTCCAAAGAGACCCAAGATTGACAGTGAGGCCACAAGGTATTATAAGGCTTGGAATATAATAAAAGAAATAATGGAATGTTGGCTGGAAATATTGCAGTATTTTAGTAATCAGTGAAATTGATAAATCATAAAAAGAACATTTATTACTTGGCTCCGAAACTTGAATAGAATTCAGTTTCCTTGAACTCTGTGATGCTTATAGTGTTTATATCTATAATAAATGAAGACTAAAATTGTAGATACTGTGGCTCCCATCTTGGTAGAGTATTGAGATTTGGACTCTGTGAATAGAAGAAAGAAGGAAGGGAAATGGGATGGTTGTAGATATAGAATAGCAGCCACCTCATTTCCCTGCCACCAAATAGCCTTGCTGTCCATCCCTCCTTACCCTACTACCAAATCATCTACCAACACTCTAAAATACTTGTATCAAGATTTCCCATTAGCCAGTGATATTGCCAACTCATGTCCCAGAATATGGTAACCTAAGTCCCTTGAATGAAACTCCTAGAAAAATAGAAAAGTAAATGTTGAATCAAATGTCTTTCAAAAGCTTAAATTTATATATGAGTTGGCAAGAAAATAAGAAATACCGAGTTAAGGCAAAAACCCAAAAAGACATAGGAAGCATTAAAGTTGGCTTTCACCTTGTGAGCATTTGCCAAATTCTGATACATTTTTACTTCCATTTTTACGACTTTGAAAACTGTCAGTGATTATATGGGGGTGTGGGAAGTCCAAGGTCTCCTAACTTACAGAATATGAAAAGCCCTTCCCTCATAAAACTGGACCTCAAAGAACTACAATCTCAGTGGAAAGGTGAGAG